GGATTACAAGCATGCACCACCACGCCCATTTTGGAGGCGGGTTCCTTGCATCTAGGGTTACTACGCCATGCGGTACAGGGGATCAAACTCAGGTCCTTGTGCTTGCCAGGCAGGCACTTAGTCCACTGAGCTATTTCCCAGGTCCATTTCTTTCTTTCCTCTTTTTGTCCTTTTGAGACAAGTTCTCACTATGCACTTCAGGCTGGCCTTGAACTCACTTTGTATCCCAGGATAGCTTCCAACTTACAGCACTCCTGTGTCAGTCACCCAAGTGCCAAATTTACAGGTATACCCAGCCCTTCACATATTTTCAAAAGGTTTAAACTTTAGTAAAAAGAAATAGTACTGTACCTGACGAAATCTCTTTTTTATTTCTTCATCTGTCACTTCAGGATCTATCTGAAGAACCTGATAGAATCAAAATCATAAAAAAATTATGTTTCTATTTAACAAGTGGCCAATAATTTTATACAACAGGTCTGGTGCTATTGCTCAATGGTAGGGAAATTGCCCAGGAGGCCCTGAGTACAATTCCCAGCACAACACACTCACACACACACAAATATATATAGAAAAATATACATACACACGTATACATATATACATACATACAACTATATATATGATAAAGTCAGCATTCATCTAGACCAGTATACTGGGCTGGGGAATTAGCTTGATGGTCTAAGTGCCTGCCTGGCAAGCGCAAGGACCCAAGTTCGATCCTAAGTACTGCATGCTGTGCCGGTCCCAGAACTCTGGATGCACTGTGCCCAAATGGCCACCGAAACGGGGCGTAGTGGCACATGTCTGTAATCCCAGCACTGGAGAGGCTGAGACAGGAGGATTACTATGAGTCTGAGCTCGGTAGTGAGATTCTATACCACATAAATAAATAATAAAAGTTTTAAAAAGATTTAGACTGGTATACCTTGTTCTAGAAAACTGGCTAGTACCTAAAAACTTCTCAAGAAACACGAATGAGTGAAATCAATGAGAATAACAGCTATATTGTTTTAGGGTTCTGAGTTAATTTAATGCTTTTTCTTTTTTTTTTTTTAAATTTTATTTATTTATTTATTTATTTGTGTGTGTGTGTGTGTGTGGCCAGCTCAGCCCACCAGGGGGCGGGGCTGGCTGGCATGTGGTGCTGGGGGATTGAACCGCGGTCCCTGTGCTTTGCTAAGCTTGTTCTGAGTAGGTGCTTTAGACCACTGAGCCGTCTCACCAGCCCCTAATGCTTTTTCTTGATCAGCAAATAAATCTGTTACACACAGAGACGTGTTTTTGTGGTGCAAGAGATAAACCCTTGGACTCTCATATGCTGAGCAAGTGCACTGCCACTGAACCACACCCCTGGCCCTACAGTCATGTTCTAATACATATGAGAAAATGTTGTTCTCCATTAAGAAAAGTATTACCACCTTATCTTTGTAAATGTTCAGAAAGCACCAAATTCAACAAGAAAGAAAACCAGGCCAGCTACTTAGTTTCCATCTCAAAGGAGAAATGGTCAGCAACTTTCCACCCCAATGAACATCAAAACCACTGTAGAAACCTGCTAGCAAAACTCACTTTAAGTGGTGCACACTTGCTATCCCAACACTTGAGAGGCTGAGGCAGGAGGATCGCTTCAGAGGATGAGGTGGAAGGATCACTCTTAGTTTGAGGCCAACCTGGGCTACACAGTTTAGTTTAAGGCCAGCCTAAAATACACAGCAAAACTCTGTCTCAAATAAGAAAGAAATTTTAAAAAAGAGGGCTGGTAAGATAGTTCAGCAGTCTAAAGCACCTGCTTAGGCAAGCTTAGGAAACCCCCGGGGCAGGGCTGAGCTGGCCACCAAAAGAAAAAGAAATAAATCAATTAAAAAAAAAAAAAAAAAAAA